GCGTTTCAGTGCAACACTCTCACATATGTGTTTGATTTTGGGAGGCATAGAAAAAATGTAGCGATTGATTTATCGTCACGTTCAATTTTTAACGCGCCTTAATGTTTCTCTCGTAAACTTCTCGCAAATCTATACGCAATCCGTTTATTGCCGATAACTTATCGTGGATAGATTTTTTTTTCTGAAATCAGGATTTCGTGCGAGCGAAATCGTCCGGGTAGACAAAAATCTAACGCGAAGCTGTTTCCGCGTAACTCATGGACGCTAGCTTATTTGAAATATTCATCGAACGCGATTTTACAAGACGACTACAAACTCGAAACTAGTTATTCCGCCTTGGTTTCACAACAAAAGTGCAAATTCTGCGGTATAACGCAAATTGTAGTATAATGAACGCGTACATATTACAAATTATAATATTCATTGCATGACTAAAAGTATGAGGGATATTCGAAGCAATGGCCTAGTTTACACCGATCACTTGATACGCGTATTAAATAGTAAATAACTAGTAAATTAGTTTGATTATTGGCTGATCAGCTCAAATATACCATTTGATACGCGTATCAAGAAATCGGTGTAAACTAGGCCAATGCATCGAAATAAGTCATACTCTTATACATATTATAAGCAGAATGTTATATGATATCTTGTATTCGTATGTAAGCAGAAAATTTATAAGAATAAACGAGATAATATTTTTCGGGATACTACATTAAGATGAGATTGGAAGGGCGATATATGAAATCATTATTCAGTGTAAAAAATATGTACTTCATTTTAATATACTTATATACAATAGTTGTATTCACAATATCTAACAATTCGATAGTTGCCGAAAGAACAAGATGTACCAAATCGTTGGTAGAATAAGTATCGCATATCTTTCTTCTAATTCTCACATACGTTTTAATTTAAAAATATACCATATAAATAGTCCAAATAAAATTGCAGACCATATGTCAGTCGATATTCTAAAAAAAAACTATGACTTATTTGTTTAGTAATGTCACTTAGATTTTCTAATATTTAATGATAACTTCATGAGAAGACAAAAAATGTTTATTTTGCAATGCGAATCCTACTCGGTCGTTCTTCATGTCAAATACGGTGTAGTACCGACCAATAAATACATCGCCCAAAATCCACTCTATACCATCAGGTAGATTAACATCTTGGAAGGCGGGCACGCAAATATCTATCTCGTCTTGTGTGATCTATGAGACATTAAATATGGCATAATATTTCTATTCTAAAAACAATTTAAACCTATATGTAATAATATTCTTTACCTTCAAGACATAATCTTGACCAGTGAGTGGAAACCTTACCACCTATGACGAAATTGATATCGGGCAAATTAGAAATCTCGTTGCAGTCCACCTTTAAACAAAGGTCAATGTTAGTAATCCATATTAATAATCCGTAACTTATCAAACATTTATTAATTTATTTTAGTAATTTATTTAAGATAATTGTGAAAGCTGCCATTAACGAAAAGGATCTATTGATTACTGTTCCATTATCATTAACACCGATCTCTCTGTTAAGAGCTGCGATAGTGCGATGGTTCACACATCATAGAAGCGCCCGTGTCGACGACAGGTTGACAGCCTTCCGAGCAAGAGGTGTAATTTTTTACTTGAATCCTACAGTGGGATAGTATTACCAATTAGCTGACATATAATCCGTGGTTGACATACGTATAATTTAGAAAAAAAAAACTACATACTTATCCATGGTAATTTGCCAGTATTTTTTAATAGTAACATTATATAACATACGTAAACTCGCCCTCGTAATGGGAAGAATCGGTGCCACCCAATATCAATTCACCGTTGATCACGTCCGCTTGATTTCTGTATGAGTTGTATATTTTTTACATTTGCATTTTACATTGCATGGAAAGGCAAAGTATGTAATTAAAAAAATAGTATTAAACACACGTAAGGCATACGGAAAGATACATACCGATTTAGATAGAAGCTAAAAATTAGTTGGGACACCACGTGTTGATTAATTATGTTTTGGAAGACAGTAGGCTTTTCAAAGGCAGATAAGTCGGGATAAGCCATCCCCAAAGTGCCGTCGAATTGTACATCGTCAAAAAAACTTGTCGTGAAATTTCTCTATATTAATCCAAATATATATAACTAACAGTAGTTAAATCATCAAATATATTTCTGTTTATATTTTTACTTTAACATGCAAGCTGTTTTGTATAAGAAATTATTTATATCTTTAAAGGAAGTGTGACAAATAATGTAAATAAAAAAGTATGTAAGTATGGAACTTAGCTACATAATATTTACCTTACCACTGACTCGAATCTTTGAAACGGTTGCTTTAAAGATTTTATAACTTTACTTGAAATGTAAATGGAATAGATACAATTCTACAGCATTATTCTTATCTTATATTTTTACTTGATATCAATCATTAAACGAGAAAAAAATTATTAAGATTATTTTAATATACTTGAAACATTAATTTTTTAAATACAAATGTAAGAAATATAAATAGGAATAATAGAATGTCGGGGAGGTAGCGATGTTATACTTACAGCAAGCAGGTTGGCTAACGTCGCAGTTTTTGGATGGCACCCAGAGATCTGAGAAACCAGTGTCGAAAAGTACTTTAAATGTTTGCGGTGGAGTTCCAATTTCGATAGTACCGTAGTATTCATAATTTAGATAATTAATCAGAGATACGTTTGCCGTACCCGAACGCAGTAGTATCATAGTTTCCATCGAAAATTTTTTAACAGAAGATGTCTTGTGTAACGGAATTCTTGAAACAACATAAAAAAATTTCCGTTATATTATATGCGTATATGTATCGTATAAACGCGAATGTATGTACATATCGTACAACATAAATACGAATTTCAAATAATTTATTTGATCATTTTCGAGCAATTCTTATTTAAAAACTATTAAAACCTCAACATTTTGGCATTGAGAAATAAATGCTACCTGCATATATATATTTACGCATTAAAATGTAGTTAGGTATTTTAAATGCGAATTCCTCTTTTCATGATGCTAAACTCATTTAAAATAAGATTTTCGAAGGATTCCTCAAAGCATCTCTTGTAATTACTTGGCTCACTTTATTCCGACTTTCAAAATGCGTTTTTCTTACAGATTTGATACAATTATGGTACTTGAAATTTATTTGATAATTATTTATCGCGACATCCGCGGTGATTCCAAGTAGTTGGAAGCGCGATCTCTGTACGGTATTACAATTTATCGTGTCGATATGAATGTGAATCGATTGTATATAACATGTATACTTACCTATGCAACTCCGCGTTGATCGACGCGAAGTTGAATACCGAGATTACCGTCACAAAGAGCCGATACATTTTCCTGAATTTCTCGACGACTGAAGCTACAAAAATCAAAATCGTTTTAAGACCGTTATAACTGCGAGTCAATCCACAACCGGTACGTACTGACAAAGAACAGGCAGTCAAATTAAAGGCTTTAAAGTTTATACAAATTCTCTGAGAGCCTAAGAGCTCTTTTCATTAATCCAATCGACTCTAAAAATTGCGTTTTGCATATACGTAAATATTTCATTAGCACAACTCAATGTATTAAAAAAAAGTTAATGATTAATGAGATGAAATTGATCTTTGAAAATACGTATTGTTTGAGTCGGTATAACAGACTTATATGTATAAGCAATGGTATGTACATTTATTCCAGATTTACATACAATAGCTTGAATGTTAATATGCTAAATGGTGACAGACTGTATCAATTGCATTTTAGTATTAAGTACTGTATAGTGTGATATTTTCTCCTGATATTAGAGTAGAGGCCTATTGGCTTGTAATCATATCAAATTTTTGCAAACGTGTATTGCTATAGAAAATATTATCGTTGTTACATTACATATGTTTCAAAATCACTCGATAATTATCTCGATAATTAGTACAGTACGCAAGTTTTTAAAAGTAACATTTTCAAAAAGTTAATTTATAATATTAATGATAGTGAAATACCTTAACCACACAGTTTTCTCGATATTACATCAATTAATTATAATACATATGACATAATAATGTTGGTATCGACAGATTGGTATCATTGAGTCCACAATTTTATATAATTATTATTAATAAACAAGAGATTTATGTGTATACCTTTGTATGAGCATAAAAAATATAGAAAATTGTATATTAATTAGAAATGCGGTTATTTATACAGGCAGAATGTTATACGATATCTTGTACTTGTATGTAAGCAGAAAATTTATAATATACGAAATAATATTTTTTGGGATACTACATTAAAATAATATTGAAGAGCGAATATATAAAATCAATATACAATGTAGAAAGTATATACTTTATTTTAATAGAAATCGTGGATAAAAATAATATCACATATCTTTGTTCTAATTGTCACATTGTATGTATTCATTTAACAACATATCACATAAATAATCACAAATATTCTAAAAAACTTTGACACATTTGTTGAGTAATGTTCTTTGTGTATCATATTTTATTTAACACTAGCAGTAGTTAATACAATATGCAAGTTTCTAAAAATAACAATTTCAAAATATAAGTTTATAATATTAACGATGAGATACCTGAACCAGTTTTGCAATATTAAAACAATTTATTAATTAGAATACATACGACATGATAATATAATTTTCGTATCGACAATTTGGTATCCATGTGTCGAAAATTTTGGATAATTTTTATTAATAAGCAAATGATTTATGCGTATATACGTTTGTGTAAGCATAAAAAATGTAAAAAGTTATATATTGATTACAAATGCGGTATGTCATACTTTTATACATATAAGCAGAATATTATATAATATCTTATATTCGTATGTAAGCAGAAAATTTATAAGGATAAACGAGATAATATTTTTCGGGATACTACATTAAGATGAGATTGAAAAGGCGATAGATGAAATCATTATTAATGTAAAAAATATATACTTCGTTTTAATAGACTTATATACAAGTTGTATTCGCAATATTTAACAATTCGATAGTTGCCGAAAGAACAAGATGTACCATATTGTTGATAGAATAAATATCGCATATCTTTCTTCTAATTCTCACATACGTATTAATTTAAAAATATATCATATAAATAATCCAAATAAAATTACAAACCATATGTCGGTCGATATTCTAAAAAAACTATGACTTATTTGTTTAGTAATGTCACTTAGATTTTCTAATATTTAATGATAACTTCATGAGAAGGCAATCAAAATTTATTTTGCAATGGCGAATCCCACTCGGTCGTCCCCCATGTCAAATACGGTGTAGTACCGACCAACAAATGCATCGCCCAAAACCCACTCTATACCATTAACCGGAATAACACCTTGGAAGGCGGGAATGCAAACATCTATTTCGCCTCCTGTGATCTATAAGACATTAAATATAGCATGATATTTCTATTCTAAAAACAATTTAAACCTTTATATAATATTATTCTTTACCTTCAAGATATAATCTTGACCAGTGAGTCGAAACGTCTTACCACCTATGACGAAATTGATATCGGGCAATTTAGAAATCTCGTCGCACTCCACCTTTAAACAAAGGTCAATGTTAGTAATTCATATTAATAATCCGTAACTTATCAAAAAGTTATTAATTTGTTTCAATAAATTTATTTAAGGTAGTTGAAATCTACCATATATTGAAGAAAAAGATAATCAATTACCATCCCATGATCAACACCGATCTCTATGTTAAGAGCTGCGATAGTCTGCGGTGGTCCACCTATCATAGAAGCGCCCGTGTCGACGATAGCTTGACAGCCTTCCGAGCAAGAGGTGTAATTTTTTATTTGAAACCTACAGTGGGATAGCATTACCAATTAGCTGACATATAATCGGTGGTTAACATACGTATAATTTAGAAAAAAAACTACATACTTATCCATGGTAATTTGCCAGTATTTTTTTTCAGTAACATTAACATACGTAAACTCGCCCTCGTAATGGGAAGAATCGGTGCCACCCAATATCAGTTCACCGCCGATCACGTCCGTGTGATTTCTGTATGGGTTGTATATTTTTTACATTTGCATTTTACATTGCATAGAAAGACAAAGTATGTAATTAAAAAAATAGTATTAAACACACGTGAGATATACGGAAAGATACATACCGATTTAGATAGAAGCTAAAAATTGGTCGGGACACCACGTGCTTATCAATCATGTTTTGGAAGACAGTAGGCTCTTCGAAGGCAGATAAGGCTGGATAACCCATTCCCAGAACGCCGTCGCATTGTGCATGGTCCCAAAAACTTGTCGAGAAATCGAGCGCTTCTCCGAATGTCTGGAATGAAACCTTAAGGCCAGCAATCTGCGAAACGTTGATATTATTAATAAAGTGTAATTGCGCGCATTCTTTTTTTTCGAAGAACGATAGCAACATGTGCTTTTTAGAAAATTTTCATAGATTATGACTGTGATTAGAATTAAATATCATTTACTTGACAAAGACTTACGATTACGTCATCATTAGATAAGTTTCCGTACACTCTGCCATCGTGGTAAGGAATATCAAATGTAAGTCCGTCTTCCACGTATGTGGTGGAGTTTGTATTATCATATTTATTATGCTTTACTGCACAAAAAGTAGTAAATAAAATTAAATCAGTTAATATTAAAGAATCTCTAGAAATATAAATTTTTCTATATTAATCTAAATATATAACTATAACAGTAGTTAATCATATATATCATCATATATATTCAGTTAAATCATCAAATATATTTATGTTTATATTTTTTGCTTTAACATGTGAGCTGTTTTGTATAACATTTATTTGCACACTTCAGATACAATTTTACAGCATTATTGTTATCTTATATTTTTACTTGATATCAATCATTAAATGAGAAAAAAATAATTAAGATTAGTTTAATACTTGAAACATTAATTTTTTTTAATACAAATGTATATATAGGAATAATAGAATATCGGGGAAATAGCGATAATGTTACGATATACTTACAGCAAGCAGGTTGGCTGATGTTGCAGTTTTTGGATGGTACCCAGAGATCTGAGGAACCAGTGTCGAAAACTATTTTAAATGTCTGCGGTGGAGTTCCAATTTCGATAGTACCGTAGTATTGAATATTTAGGTAATTAATCAGAGATACGTTTGCCGTACCCGAACGGAGTTGTATCATAGTTTCCGTCGAAAATTTTCCAACAGAGGATGTCTTGTGTAACGGAATTCTTGAAGCAACATAAAAAAATTTCCGTTATATTATATGCGTATATGTATCATACAAACGCGAATGTATGTACATATATCGTACAACATAAATACGAATTTCAAACAATTTATTTGATTATTTTCAAGCAATTCTTATTTAAAAGCTATTAAAGTCTCAACATTTTGACATTGAGAAATAAATGCTACCTGCATACATTTACGCATTAGAATGTAGTTGGTATTTTAAACGCGAATTCCTCTTTTCATGATGCTAAACTTATTTAAAATAAGATTTTCGAAGGAATCCTCAAAGCACCTCTTGTAATTAGTTTTCTCACTTTATTCCGACTTTCAAAATGCGTTTTTCTTACATATTTGATACAATTATGGTATTTGAAATTGATTTGATAATTATTTATCGCGAATTCTGCGGCGGTTCCAAGATGTTGGAAGCGCGATCTCTGTACGGTATTATCATTTATCGTGTCGATATAAATATGGATCGTTTGTATATAACATGTACACACCTATGCAACTCTGCGTTGATTGACGCGAAATTGATTACCGTGATCACCATCATCGTCACGAAGAGCCGACACATGTTTCTTAAATTTCTCGGCGACTGAAGCTACAAAAGTCGAAATCGTTTTAGGACCGTTATAACTGCGAGTCAATCCACAAGCGGCACGTACAGACAAATAACAGGTAGTCAAATTGCTAAGCGTTCCATTATATACAAATGTGCGTACATAGCCTTGTGCTTATAAGAAGGTGAGCAGAAGGGCAGAAAAACAAACAAAGCGTTTCAAAGCTTTGTGTTCGAACGATATTAGAACCCGCTTCGAGATCTCGGATGGAGAAAAAGAATTGACCATGCAATCATATTTAAGCAATTCGACAATTTACTAATGCGATTGGTCAGTTGCCGAAAATTTAAGAATTTTATCAACATAAAGAATTTTGTCAGTTTCCAAGAATTTTCTCAATTGTCAAGAATATTTTACATTTTTAAGAATTTCTCGAATTTCTGAAAATTCGAGCTTTCAAATCCGAAAAATCAAAAAGTTTCGTAAAAATTAAAAGTCTGGAAAATTGACGAAGTATTACAATATAATTAGAAATAATCAGGAACAAGGTAAAATAAATCATAACTTCAAGCGTTTCAATTCTCTCGAAAAGAAAACGAAAGAAGAATACGACGTAGAACGTCTTATCTCGACGCGATTGTCCTTTCGTCTTTTTTTAATTTACAATGTCAATTTGCACGGAGTTTTGTTTGGCAACGTGAGTAATAAAAGGGGATGGAATAGTGTAACTATTAAAATTCTGCATTTTTTTAAATATTGATTATTTGGTGTACAAGGTGAGGCATCTGGAACGTTTTACGAGATACATTTGTCGAAGGAATATTACAAGTCACTTCGTGCGTCCGCTATGTGTAAATTTTGTACTTTTTTTCTTCCGCTATACATGTCGAAAGATGTGTGTACGTGTTTGCGTGAACTAAATAAATAATCCGCAATTAACGAGGAAGTTGTATTGCTACGATGGACAATGCGCACGACCGAAAAACGTTGATCGTTAACGATATCGTTAACGATTTTTTTATTATTTACATGATTAACGCGATATTATAATGCGATCCAAAAATTGCATAAGTAAAGTTTGCATCGAAATAAATCAAATTCTATTGCGTTTTTCCAAATTTTGACAAATAAGTGACGAGTTTCCAACAATTTAGGTACGTCAAACACAACTTGTAAAAAAACGTAAATTTCTTCAGTTACATTACTGTTGCAATTGCATATTAAATTTTAGTATACGTTTTTAACATAAATCCTTGTTTCTTACGCATTTTGACAATTTTTCCCGATGCCAATCGATATCTACGTAAAAAGAAAGGTAGAAAGAAAGTAGAAGAGATTCGGTCGGGGATGTTTCACACGCGAATATATCTCTTCAGTTGTTCTTTCTCCGCTTAAGTCGTTTTGCTCGAGAATAAGCGTCAGAGCTACTTTAGATAACAACTGAAAAACTTCTAACAATTTTTGCAATCTTTGGATGATCTGAGTGACAATGACTCGACCGGGCACATTTTGTATGTACGTGTATGTACGTGTGTAATTAATTTTCGTGTAATTAACGTGTCTCCCGGAAATTATGCCTATGCGTGTTAGCCTTCGCGCCAATAAATACAATAATTAATTACCGATAAAAATAAATACGAAGCAAATAGGTAATAAGTCAATGTGGCGAGTTCGTGTGTGTATATACATATATATATCTATATGTATATATATACATATATATCTCAGCACGTGTATGTCGCATGGTCGTAATGCCAATTAGAGACGGCCGTCTGTCGCGTATATTGCTTGCTCGGCTCGGCGAAACTCCGCGTCGCACGAAGGGAGGGTAGATCGCTCTAAGCGTTTTGTCGCAAATATCGTGATAAAAACAAAAAAGAAAGAGAAATAGGTAACCGCATTAAAAAAATATCCGACTCCCGTATATCGTTCAGTCGATCAGGACCGCGCGTGACGGGCACGCGTTTGGAAGCGCCTATACGGCGAGCTGATAAATGATAACTCGGTAATGGTGAGACCCCCTTTTTTTTTGCGTTTTTCTATCTTCGCCGTCGTACGCGGAGTCGCGTCTATGTGGTATACGTGTCGCGTCGCGTCGCCGTTACGAACGCACATTAGTCGACGTAATTAGTCGGATTACTTGTACATTGTTTCCGGTACCAACCAACAGCATACAATTGCTTCGCCAACTTCGGAATACGCTCCGCCGTTAAACCACCCTGTCCGCTCGTCTGTCCGCGAAATAGCGTCCGCAACCATCGCCGCGTCGTCGGTTCGGTCTATTCGCACGAGCTCGGTTTCAGACCGCGTCCCGGATAAGAGAGAAAAAGGAAGGACCCGACGATTTAAAATTTATTGCGACGGAATACAAGAATACAATTTCAGTAATCGTTAACAGAGAAAACGTAATGTTATGTATATAATATATATAACACGTAATTACAATGTCCTATGACGTAATTAAATATTAATATAATTAAACTTTTAAATAAGCTAAATACAATAAATCCAATAATTTATTAGATTTATTGTATTAGCTTTTGTTACTACATTAATAATTTATTATATTTAATTACATTAATAATTTAATAATTTTATTATAATTAATAAATAATACATTAACATAAAATTATATATGCAATTTCTCGACTATTCTACATTTATGGTTTATCTGACCGTGAAAACCGTTTCCGCAGACAGGGATGTCTCAAACTGAGCTTTTTCACGTAGAATAGCGTCGTGAACAAAAAGGACGATCAAAGGAATTCCACCTATTATTATAAAGAACATTATCGGAGGACTTTGATGAGCGTATGCGAGGAATAATACAGTCAATCTGCGAGGTCTAGCTTTAAAATCAACCGATGTCGTAGCTATTTGAAGATGCGAATTTGCGTCGCGCGCAATATTTCACCCTCTTTTTTTTTTGGCACAATCGCGACGGACAGGGAAGTTTCGCAGTGGTAAAACGTCCATTTGTATTCGAAGAATTGGATAGTGCACAATACGTCCCATACGAATATAGGAAAATAACTATCACGTATAATCATCAATGTAATAATTATCAATAATGTAATAATATATGATATAATCGTAATTAAGATTGCGTATGTGTATATATGTATAAATATTTTACAAGGAGTGTGGTGTGTGATAGGGGGGAGGGTGTGGGGGGGGGGTAGAGGCTAAGAAGACCAAAATCAAATGACGCTAATTAAGCTTTCTTTATTAAGGTCTTTTATACAGATACGAGGGCGATATCTGTCTCTACGCGACCGTGTCCTGCCCGATCGAAAAACCCCAGCTTCGCGATGAAAGTAGGAATAATGTATACATTTCTTCAGTACGTGTGTGTGACGCGCACATCTTCGCTTACCACCTCCCACGCAAGTGGCGAATGCTTTCCGATCGAAATTTGCGCTGCGGCGCGGGCGCCCTACGGAGCGACAGCACTTTTTGCTTATCTTTGGAAGTCATACAGGAACATACATCAGCCCGAAATCATCGTGAAGAACAATTTTTCTTATAAAAAGGAAAATCTATCTAAAAACCGATAATTATTTAACATAAACCGACAATCTTTTCCGCACGTCATAAAAACATATTCTTTGCATGTGCTCGTAAATAAAAATTCCACCGTTTTTCATTTTCTTGAAAATTATGCCGAAAGTCGACTTGGTGTCTCGTCAAATTTGCGTTCTTTCTTTTTTCTTTTTTTTAAAGCGGTCGGTCTGGCGGGAAAATGGGCCTGATATATGTATCTGCTATAAATGTGTCTCGAAAATATTCTTGAAGCTCCTTAATAGACTTCTTTTTCTTTTTTTTTTTTTACTTTAACTTTTAGTCTTTTCTCTTTATCCTTTAGCACTCGCGAAATATAAAATTGTATCCCGTGAACCATTGGACCACGCTTAGTGACTATGGGCCGTCGTGATTCCGCCAATCCGCCTGCGTTTTCTCTTCGTTATCTTTCCTGATGTTGCTAACAGGACACATCAGCAACGAGACTACAACGCAATTTTGTAAATTAAACGAATGATAATTGGTCCTATACAGTTACGGAGAATGTTGTCGATTATCCTCCGGCTGGGTACGTTCGTTAATCACTTGAGAAAATTAAATTTAGGTTTCGGATATGTATCAAGAGACACGGTAGTGTCTCGCGCCAAGTACACGCGAAGCGAGACCGACCGTGACTCTTTTACGCGACGCGACGGGTTGCGAGTACCCGAGATGTTGAGATCTCAATAACGAGTAAACGGATCAAGTTCTAAGTAGGCTTGATCGATAGCTTGGGGTCCAATTAGGGGGGGAGGGTTTCTCTTATAATATCCCGCTCCGTGCCCTACGAGCGGAGATATTGCGACGCAAAATCCAAATGTGAAAATTTTTTATTAAGATACTTCTTTTTCTATCTACTTCTAACGCCGACGTCTTATATGACACTACAAAAAGGCGTGATATCCGTACAAAATTACCTTTTTCAAAAAAAAGGTAAAAAAATGCGCCAAGTACACGCATAGTAGTATATATGTATTATGTTGTTACCTCAAAAAAAACAAAGTGGTAGTATTATACCTCGAAATAACACCCTGTACATATTGTTTATACAATGCGTAATACTACAAAAAGGCGTGATATCTGTACAAAATTACCTTTTTTTAAAAAAAGGTAAAGAAAGGCGCCAAGTACACGCATAGTAGTGTATATGTTGTTACCTCGGAAAAAAAAACAGTGGTAGTATTATACCTTAAAAAAATCTAAGTAACAAGTGGTAGACGAAATCTTTGTATCTTGAAAAATCTCGAAAAAACCTAAACAGTAGTATCTTCACCTCGAAAAAAAAAAACAAAGTAGTAGTATTATACCTCGAAAAAACCTAAGTAACAAGTGGTGGACGTAATCTTTGTATCTCCAAAAATCTCGAAAAAACCTAAGCAGTAGGAGAGACCGGGGCTAAGCCGACACTATTTTTTCAAAGGCAATTTTTAATATTTAATTAAAATTTTTAGGCAAATTCAATGATATATATTTAAAGAGTGTTTCTTCAGGTACAAAATTGATTCAGGAAGTTT